CCCCCCCCCCCAATACACACGCACACAGTATGGCACGTGCATATCAATATGCACGCTGTAGAATCTTCTGTCGCTCGCCCTCTCTCACTGTCTTGCTGTCTCTCGCTCTCTTGCTCTCTCTCTTTCTCAATCTTGAATTCATCTGTCAGTACAAGCATTGTTTGATGTCAGAGGAGCAGTACTCAGATGGGTTTCTTGTCATCTATTGAGCAGTTGTTGAAGTAGTTGTGTCATTTTGTATTTGGAATACCATGTCTATTTGTGTGCAAGGAGCTTCTCAGAATTGCGCGGAATTGTTTTTATTAACTTTTTAAACTCAAGCAGGTGTTGTTCAGAAGGTTGGAAGTTCAAATCCTGTTGGAATTGTCCATGTTCCTGGCAAACATATTCAAAATTGCTGTGAGTCTTTTACCGGGAACATGGACAAATCCTCTGTTCATGATGTCTATTTTGTGGAAGGAGTTTCTCAGGGGGGGGGGGGGGGGGGCGTCCTTTTTTTTTTTTTTTCCTCAAAACAATTTCTGTTTTGGGGCTTTGGTTGGCCAAACATTCTCCAAGTATCGAATTTGGATTGTGTTTTTATTTTTTTTTCTCCCTTTTTTTCCACTTTTCATCTCACTCCCTCGCGGGACCCCTCCCTTCCACCTCTGCATGTTCCCTGACGCGTTTTGTAAAGTATAGCCCAATCGCTGGGATTTGCGCCTCTTCAGAATTGTCAATGGATTGGATGTGTGACTTTGTGAAGTCGTGTAGGGAGTGCTAAGAGAAGAGAGCTTGGATGCCAAGAACGGTTGGTGTGCATGTGGAAAGAAAGAAAGAAAAAAAAAAGAAAGCAAGAATAGGAAGAAAAAAAAGAAAGACAAAAAAGAAAGAAGAAGAAGAAAAAAAATGCAAGAAAAGAAAGAAAAGAAAGAAGGAAAAAAAGAAGTGCACAGAATCACAGTTATACGGAAAACAGGCGGAAGTAAATGGGGAGCGGAGCCCGATGTCATTGTCTTCCACCTGAACAAAACATGCACTGTATAGGCATTATCCGCGCCACCTGATCTATATTGAGAGTTGCCCCAAGTACAGCTTTAATAACTGTACGTCCTATTCAGCGGAAGACGGTCCGTTTGAGCACCGTCTTGCGCTGAATAGGACGTACAGTTATTATAGCAGCAGTCAGATGACCACTAATGCCGAAGTCCCCTTCTCTGTTGCTGCAGCCATAGCACCTTTCATCGATCGGCATGGACGTAATATTCTGTACAGCGGAGCCCTTGAGGCTCTCTGTGCACTGTTCCTGGACTGTTTGTCATTGTCCCTGGCAGTGCGTCTAGACTGACCGTTGCCCAAAGTACAGCTCCGGCTTTCTTATGCTTTGTACACAATGGACAATGAATGGCCCCAACCGTCTTTTTTTTTTTTTTTTTTTTTTTTT